ATGATATTCTTAAAAATACTCAATAGTCTGTAAATTTTTAAGAGGCTATAAATTGGTAAGCTTTCATTTTGTGTGCATGTGAAAAAATATTCAATAGTTATTGATCAGAGTTAGTGATTTAAGATCAGAGTTAGTGATTTAAATTTTCTTCAGTATGCTTTTCTGCACTTTTTAAGGTATCTTATAATAATACATGTATTACCTTGAAAATCAGTGAAGAAAAACATTGCATGAAAACGAACTATCAAGGATTGTTGAGCAGTGTGAAGAAGTATTGGTGGACAGTGAGCATACAGTCTTGGATGAAATTAACTGATATATAAGATCTGGAATGAAGGGGTCATGGTCCTCTCTCCCCTACTCGGGGCAGATCTGACCTGGATACCTGTGTTCAGGGACCCACATTTTATCAGGAATGGAGGAGTTGCATACAGTTATATCCATGGGGGATATATAACTAAGACTCCCAGTGGATGCCCCAAATCCACATGATATATAAATATATTTCTATACATAGTACATATGATAAAAGTTTAATTAATAAATTAGGCACAGTAAGAGATGAACAATAGTAAAATAATTATAAATATTTACTGTAATAAGTTATGTGAATGTAGTCTGTGACTCTGAAAATATCACTGTACTGTATTTGTCCTTCCTGTGATGATGTGAAATGATACAATGTCTCTGTGAAGCCAGTGAATGATGTAGGCACTGTGACATAGCATTAGGCTACTATATAACACAAGCTACTTGAACCCAAGCATGCAATACTGCAACAGTGGATCTGATACCCAAGACTGCTATTAAGTTATTAACAGGTGAGTAGCAGACACATGTGGATACCCTGAAGAGAGGACTCAGTCCTGGGTGGGATAGAGCTGGAAAGCAAGAGATTTTATAACTCCATTCAGAAGAGTATGAACTTTAAAACTTAAGAATTATTTGTTTCTGGAATTTTCCATTTAATGTTTTCAGACCACAGCAGATTTTAGATAAGTGAAATCTTGAAAATGAATTAAGGGTGGGGTGATAAGGAAGAACATGGTATTTACCCTCTGCCTGCTGTTCAGAGAAAGGGATATGTTTCTATATTAATGCTTTTATAGAAATCATGATCTCAGCCTGATTCAGCAAATGAGAGTTCTCTTTAGGTAACCTCAGATGACTCTTTGAATGAATGCCCGGCCTTTCAAAGTTTCTCTCCTCCCTCACCACAAGGTGTGGACAAAGGGTCACTTTGTTCCCATGATGGCTGGGAGAAGATCTAGATCTCCTCCAGCAGAACCTGGTTCTCTCTGGCCAACCTTACACCTGGAATGGTGGGGCTGAAGGCCACTAGTCCTCTTCTGGACAGTGTCACCACTGCTGAAGCCTGGGGTTTTCCTATGTTCCCAATAAGATACCACCTTACTCCTGCTTGTGCTGTGGGCCTGTGATTTCCCTGAGGTCACACCCTCTGGCAAAGTCTTGGGCCAGACTCTCAGGTCAACCTGGGCATCCCTCTCCAGGGGCCTGGAGAATCTTGTGTGCTGGCCACACAGGAAGCGGGGCTGTCGTCCTCCTAAAATGAATTGCTAAGTTGTTTATGTATGGCATTCTCTTATTTTCCATGTTTAATTATTGGGCAGGGGGGAGCATTTTTTGTTTTGATGAAATTTCAAACTTATAAAAAGTTGCATATATCCTTTGCTCAGATTCACCACTTGTTTACATTTTGCCTCTTCTTTTTCTGCCTGTCTGCATTGTACATATGTACACACATATATATTCTGAATCACTTGAGAATTTTTATATGTAGGGTTAATGTAACTCCTATACAAATCCCAGAAAAAATTCTGATAATTAAGATTATTCCAAAATTTAGACAGAAATCCACAGAAACTAGAGTTACTAAAACAATTTTGAAAAAGAAAACTAGTGGGAGAAATCAGCCTACCTAGTTATTAGACTTATTTTGTATAGTGAATAATTAAGATTGTGTGGTATTGGTGATGGGACAGACACATAGATCAATGGAATAAGATTAGAAAACTCAGAAACAGACTCATATAAGTTTAACCAAGTACTTTTTTTTTTTTTGTATCGGGGATCGAACTCAGGACCTTGCACTTGCAAGGCAGGCTGTGGAACCACTGAGCTAAATCCCCGGCCCAACCAATTGCTTTTTGACAAAGGTGCAAAATCAGTAGTCTTTTCAACAAATGGTGCTGGAAGTGAACCCTGATCTAAGTCTTGTACCTTATATAAGAATTAACTCAAAATAGATTACAGATTTAAATTTAAAACTTTAGAAAAAAGGAGGAAATTTTTGCTATGTTGGCCTTGGTTGTAAGTTCAGACATGGCACTAAAAGTATGATTTATGAAAAAAAAGGCTACATTGGATCTCATTAAAGTTTAAACATTTTCCTTTGCAAAAGACCTGGTGAAAAGCAAAAAGGTGAGATTGAGAGGAAATATTTGCAAATCACATATTTGACAAAGGACTGTATCCATAATATATAAAGAACATAAAATGCAACAGTAAAACCCTGAACAATCCAATCAGAAAATGGGCAGAAGATAGGAGGTGACAATTCACTGGAAAGAATATGCACATGGAAAATGAGCACATGAAAAAAATTTAACATCACTAGGGAAATGTAAATGAAGACCATGATGCACTATTACTACATACCTATTAGAAGAGCTAAAATTTTTTTTAAAAGGTGCCAATACCAACTGCTGGTGAGGATGCAGAGAAACTATCTCATACATGGCTGGTGAAAATGTAGATGTACTGACTCGCTCTACATGGAGCTCCAGGTGAATGTGGTGTATTAGGTGGAGGGGAAGGGGAAGGATGGAGGCTCTGTCTGCAGAAGCAGCTCCCAGGGAAGGGATGAACTTGCTCAGATCATGCCCAAAGTCAAGGCAAACCTATGACAACCTGATGAAGGCCTCATCATGAATAAATCCCACAAATAGAGGTGTAAAGAGGTTGCCATTTTATGGTGCTTTCAGGTTCTCACACAGAAGCTAGGCCAGAAAAATCTGAACTTGGAGACTGTTTAATGGACAGAGAGGGAGCCCAGCACCTTGATGGTCAGCACTGGGGCTCCTCAGCCAGGAAGTGGCCTGTTGGGTGTGATTTTAGTAGGACAGTAAAAACAAACAAAACAAGTAACTTTAAAAAGCCACAAGCAAACAAGTTTCTCCCAGACATACTCCAAATATCCATGAAGGACACCCATGAGCACATTTGTACATGCTCTCAGGAGGGGCTTGCAGGAATGGGTACACAGCACCAAATCAGGATTAAATGCGTCCTTGTATGACAGCACACGGTCCCCAGTGGGAGCTCAGTAAGTGTATTTTAATGATGTTTAAGTGGACGCTTCTTTCTTTCAGACTCACCCCTTCACGGGAAGTACAGGTGACACTGCCAAAGAAGTGGGTGCTTTGGGGAAAAGGGAAACAGGCTGACGTGGCAGGGGAGAAGCTGGGAAGTTGGAGAATTGCACAGAACAAGGGCTTTCATAACCTGGATTTCACTCAGTGGAGCTGAGCATAGTGGCCCCATACTCAGCAGAGCCCCGAGAAACCCTGAGGCTCTGTGTAGCTCTGTCCTCCTTTCAGCAGATCCTGAAGCAGAAATGATGGAGGTTGGGTCCAGCAGAGGAGGGCTGTGCTTGTAGGCTATCCCCAGCAAGGTCACTGAGCACTGCAGTATACAGAGGCCACTTTGAATCCAAACCTAGGACCACTACTTAGACTCAAGGCAGAACACCCAGAGTGAGGCTGTTTCACTGCCCATAGAGGTGTGCCACTGTGTGGACAAAGGAGCTAGGGCTCTGCCTGCTGGACATAGGTCTGGGGGAGTCAAACAGGGCTGCCAATCATGGGAGGAGTAGTGGGACAGGGGGTCAGGAAAGAGATGTCCACAGGCAGGAGGCAGAGTGAGTTGTTCAACCATGGAGAACGCGGGGTGGAGGGCTGAGACTGCTGGCCCAGGATGGACCACTGCACTTGGCCCTAAATGGCCACTTGATTGCCTTTAGTGGAGGAGGAGGGAAGAAATGGAGATAGGAGATGGAAATAGTTGGAGAAAGAGATATGTGCAAATGAGCTCCAGGAAAACTCACCACAACCAAAACTGCAATGATCCAGAAGCTAGCGCCTAGGTACTGGCTGCTTTAGCACCCCAAGAACCTGGTCACCTAATGCCTCCTCAGTATAAAGCCTTTCCCCAACAGGGTATTTTGTGGTCCAGTTCTACTTTCCAATGGTTGACAGATGCCAGGGTTCCAGGTCCCCCGTAGTCCTCTTGGTACAGATGTGATAGTGAAGTGTGGCTTTCCACTTCCCAGAGGATGTGAAATGCTGGAGACACGGTTCTCCATCTCTGCATAAGCCTGAGCACGGGCTCCAAGAGAATAAACCACTCCACCAAATAAATGGTTCGATTTTATTTCAAAATTGTACAAAAGGCCAGAAGCGGCTATAAAAAACTTTGTCTTCAGAACATGTGGAAATTCAGAAAGAACAACAAAACAGGTATCATTCACAGTGTAATGGGAAAGCTTTCTCTGAGGCAGAAATTACAATTCCTCCTTCCTTTTCCCTAGTTTCTCTAGGTCTCCCTCCCGGAGGGTTCGAATAAAATTGGTAAATGCCAATTCCTGTAGGGAAGGGGAGGCAGGAGAGAAAAGAGAGACTTAAACCCCTGAGCCCAAGTGCACACTACCTCCTTGCCCCTTTCCAGCGACCCCCAAGAGCTCAGAGAGTGGGCAGAGTGACAGAGTGGGTCTACTTGGCTTCCAAGGCCAGCCCTGGGTAGCAGGCAATGAAACTCCACAGCCCAGAATCTACCCTGGCTCTGGGACAGGTCCAGGGCCTATGTCTTGTCAGTGTGGAGCGTCAAAGCTGAATGCTGAGATTCCTGGGGGCCTTGCTTTGCTGCCTGTTTCCGGTCCCCATCAGCACGAAGGGATCCAGGCAGATGCCTCCCCAACTCACCGTCCGGTCGCCGTCGTACTTCTCAGCAAACTTTCCGTAGTGGTAGTAGTGGAAAGTGGGGTAGGCCTTCACGGATTCCTGCTGACACAGGTCCTGGTTCCCATCTTTGACACAGTCCACGGCTCCACAGGCAATCTAGGGGTGAAGCGGGGAGAGTCAACTCTGGTGTCTCCATCAGGATGTTGCCAGGGAGCGGGCGGGGGGGCGGCAGTAGTGGACCAAGGTGACCAGTAAGAGCTCTGAAGTTTCCCAAGTACAAATCTTGGTTGCTTGTCCCTTAAGACTTAAAAAAAAAAATTGATCATTTCCTTAACCATAAGATGGGTATTATGATAAAACCTGAGTTATCAGTTCATTATGAAGAAGGAGACAAATGAGGCCGGGGAGCATAGGACCTGGGAGGGGATTACTAAATGTCAGCTGCTGTGATGGTCACTTCTACTGACCCCACACCCTGCTCTGTCTCTGCTAGGAGTTCAGGGCCTGGGCAGAAAGCTGAGCAATGAGACAACCCGAAGGTGGTGTGATGTGAGCTATGACTGAGGCAGCCCAGATCCCAGTGGGACAAAGCGCTCTGCACTATTCGCCATTGGCCTGAGGCCGGATGAAGAGCAGAAAGCTGGGATGGGGTACAGGCTGGAAACAGGGAAGGAATTTAGCATTTCTAAGTCGATTATATTTTTAGCCAGAAAGAGGTTGTGAAGTTGCCCATGGCCTCTCTTTGCTCATCTATCAAATTCCTTGTGCTGGGCAGATTTTCCTTATGATTTGTTGTTCTTTCAAGATAAGTGGGAATAAATGAGATACACGGGACTTTTTTTTCTTTTGAAGGCCACAAACTAGAGGAGTCAATTAATAGCAAGACACAATACAGAAGTGTCTCGGAAGAGGGGAAGAGCGGGTTTAGATGGGAAAGAAGTCTTGTCATCAGGCAACCTTTACTGAAGCCTGCCATATGCCACCCTGTTCAGATGTCAGTGTGACCTTGACAAAGTCCAGTTATTAAGCATCTGCCACATAAGAAATGAGGTCATTTTAGAGCCCAAGCAATTCACTAAAGAAATTTCAAAAGCATGATTCAATAAGACAATTGAAGATTGTTGAATAACCATGATTCTTTGGCTGCTGGTTATTCATACTAGGATGGACGTCCTCCCCCTTTCAGGTAGGAGAGCTCCTCAGGGCACCAATGGCCATGTCTATTGGTCACTTACCTTGTGCCCAGATGAGTGGGCACCTCACTGTTCTCTGAGCTGCACGGCTGACAGACAGAGTGAGGAAGGGGTCTGGCCTTCCCTGGGCAACAGAGGGCCACCTTGCCCTCCCACAACTCACATTTCTCTTCTGCCTCTTCAGCCCTGGAGTGCGCGTCACAGTCAGATGCACCGGAGCAGTTTTCAAACCCATTGCACACAATCCCTAGCTGGCTCACAATCCTGTTCTATTTGGCCCACAAAGAATTTAAAAAGAAAATAAATTTGAACTAGCTGCCAACAGAGAAAGGAGCCCGAAGATTTAATATAAAAACGTGGCTTTCCAGCTTCTCTTTAAACGTCAGAAGATCTGATGGCACTTGCTCTGCATTCCCACAGGCAGCAGCCGGCTGGGGCAGAGGCAGCTGTCTCCTTCGGCACGCTAAGCGCACCCTTCACCCTCGCCTGCACAGGCCGCCAGGTGGCCCTGACAGGCTGCTGGGAGCCCCAGCTCACCCGCTAAAGTGTTTTCTGAATTACTTAGAAGCGGGAGGCAGATGCTCCTTCGGTCATCCAAGAGGAGGGTTTCAATCCTTGGGACAGGCGCATCTACCACTCGGCCTCTGCGCAGTGGGCCACGGAGGGCCCTCTGTGTCCAGCCTTGGGCCAGAGGCCGCTGCTCCTCTCTTAGGCTGTGAGAGTGTTTGATGACTATTGCTCCAGGCTGCTGCTTTCCCTGCATCCGCTTTAAATTATGAATTTAATTTGTATACATGCCCTGGAGCTGTTGGGAATGTAGTGTATGGTTTTATAAATCTACAAAATTAAAAATCTGTATCACTTCTGAATCCCTTACACTCATGGCCAGCTACATATGCAGAATACAACTTTTAGCTGCAATGAAGAATCCATGTGCAATATCTACAAGAGACAGGAGACAAGTGTGGCTCTCCCCAAAGGGCCGGCTTAGAGTCTTTGGGAAGAAGGTGGCAAATCCACTTCCCAGAGCTGTTCACCTGCCTAGACACCTGCCCTATTAGAACGCTCCAGATGGGCGCTGGTCACCTGCAGCACAGTGGGCATACCCACGACTTCTGGGTTTGTTCTATGGCAGTTGGTACAAGTTCTTGGACACACAGGGTTGGTCTCCTCTACCCAGCACTTGTCATTATAATTTCTGTAGGCCTCAGCCTAAGTGCTTCCTCCCAGCCTCAAGGAGCTGGACACAAAGCCAATGACATATGGAGGTCAAGTGGGCCGATGCTGGCATGTCTCCTTATAGAGGTCTCCTGTGGGACTGGGCCCCACTGCCTACAGCCATTCACCCATAATGTATCTGTGCTGTCTCCTTCCCTTTCTGATCCTTCCTGATGGTTCATGAGACCACCTGTCAAATCAGCTCCCCACAGGTGCCCAGGTACTGAGTCTGCTTTTGGGAGACTCAAACTGTGACCATGCCTATGTGGTCTGTTCTGACTCTGCTCCTTTCCACCCACAGAACTAGGTGCTGGTCATTTAACCTCTCTCCTCACCTGTAATGTGAGGACTATAATAACATCTAGTCAACAGACTAAGAGGAGAACTCTTAGTCATTATCAAGTATGTTACTGTTCCTTCATTTGGTAAATATATACAAGGGTTTAAGGTGTCAAGATTATGGGAAATTCAAGGGCCACAGAAGTCCTTGCTCTCGGGAGCATACATCTCTGTGGGTAGAGGTCCAGTCTTATAAACAGGAGCTCCTATACAGCACAGCTGGATTACAGCAGTGGCCTGGGCAGTCATGGAGAAGGGTAACTGCTGCCTTGTGGCCACCCCCTGGATGACCTTCACACCTCTGCTGGCCATCCCCATGTCCAGGCTGGGCATACCTCGACATGCAGTGAAAGCAAGCTCCTCCCAGTGCCCTGGCCCTGTCCACCCTACCAGCTTTCTACCACGAGCTCGTGTCCTCCAAGCCTTTCAATAACACCATCCATTCCAAAACTTAGAGCCCTCTCTCCACCAGCATGTCAACAGATAAAGTCCCCAAGTAAGCAGGAGCTCCCAAGCAGGAGGGGGTTGGAGGTGTCCCAGCTAAAATATGAGCTGCCTCACACAGCTTTATTGATTCAGTAAAATAAATCTCTGCAGGAGCTAATATTGACTTTGGCTATGAAAATGGAAGTGAAGAACCAACTGCATATTGATTGGGGAGGAACTGGGACTGGCTGCAGGGTAGAAAAGAATAATAATTCTGGCTAAGAGGTGGCAGCATGGGGTGTCAGGAAAACCAGGGAGGCAGGAGACCCAGTTCTGTCACTGACCCACTGGGGCTCACTGGGCAAGGGCCATACCTCCTCCCTGGGCCTTGATCCTTCATGAGTAAAAGGAGAGGGTGGACCACCTAGTGGTCCTCAAGGGCCAGCCTGTGCCCAGCACGAGCCAGGTGTTAAAAACCACCAATTTCCAGAAGCACCTCGAGAGACTCGGATCTGACAGTTGTAGGATGGCACCTTGCAATCCTGTACCATGCCTGGGTCCCAGTGTGGGCACCAACGACTTTGGCTCCCAGGCCAGAGGCTGATCCTGAGTCCTCCTGTTACTGTTAAACCTCCAGGAACCTCAGGTGGACAGGCCAGCTGCCCTGATGGACAGATTGAAGTGGGTTCCTGAAACAGGTGACAGTGGGCCTTGGTTTGGAATAAAGAAAGCTGGAAGAACAGAGGGAATGAAACAAGAGAATGGCCAGCAGTACTACTGGCTTAAAAGATAATCAACCAAAGATGAAGGAAGTGGGGCCCTGTGCGCTGGTGGAGGAGTGATGGAGAGAGGAAGGATGGCTCTTGGCTGCCCACTGTGGCCATGGCAAGTCTGGCTGCACCTGTGCTGATATGTATCAGGCCACAGGAGTAGGCTCCAGACAGCTCCAGCAGCAGTCTAGTGGGACAGCAGAATTGTATCAACATGGGCTGTTCACCAGCATTCCCTGGCCTCCTTGGCCACCCTGGTCACCCTGGCCCCTGCTCCCTGACAAGGCTGACACTCTCCAGCAGAGTTGGGAGAAGCAGGTCCAGGATCCATGCATCCAGAGTGCCTCAGGATCCTTGCACAGATCTCCTGGGGCCCATGGACACCTGAGCAGCCTGGGGGCAGGGTAACTACCAACCTCGGCCATTCTCGTCTGCCTGGAACACACAATGAGTGCTCTGGGTGAGGGGTGATGGCGCTGACATGAGTGGTAGCTATTTCAGTCCAGGGTAGACATCTTCAGAGCTCTCAGAGCAGGAGCAACCACTCTGTGGTGTGCACTGGCCTGGGTGGCACAAGTGGGTGGAGCTGGTGACGAAGATGGGACATAGGAAGCCCCATCCTGCTATACTCATGTCAGTTCAGGACAAGTGGCAGACAGAGAGAAAAAAATCATTTCTTGTCCTTATACACCCTCTTGGCTTTTTGTCCCCATAAGTTCTCATCATCCCAGCAAAGTAATCCCAGCACTGTGTCTGCCCCTACCGAGGACAGCAATCTACCACTACTTCATATGGGCCCCTCCCTCCCTGGGCTGCCATCTTGATCTGTCCATGGTCCAGGTCTCCCTGCTTAGCTCGAGCCTGGCCTTCCCTCCTTCCAGCCTGGCTGGCCTGGCTGAAGATTCTACCTGAGCAAACAGGTGCCATATCAGCACACATGACTCTGGGTCTGAGAATGGATCCCATTCTGGGGCCCATTAGCTGAGAGGTTCCCATGACTGAGTCCAGGGCTGGAAAGAGTCTTCACAACTGTTTTTACCAGTGCCCTGACTACTGAGGTAAGAAGGGAACTTGAGGGCTGGGGGTGAGAGGGTGGGAGGGTAGAGTGGCAGAGCTCTTGCCTAGCATGCACAAGCCCCTGGGTTCTTTTTGTTCATTTGTTTGTTTTTTGAGACAGAGTCTCACTAGTTCAGGCTTTGAACTCATTACATAGCCCAAACTGGCTTCAAACTCACAGTGATCCTCTGTCTCAGCCTCCCAAGTGCTGGGATTACAGGCATGTGCCACCATGACTGGCTAAGACCCTGGGTTCTATCCTGGAACTAAAATCAACCAATCAAGCAATGAACCTAGAAGGGAACTCAAGAACTGGAAGTTGACAGGACTTCCCTGAGCACCATGACTTGCCCTGCCCAGAAGAGACATACATCCCTCTCCCAGGGCCAGCCCTGCCACCCTGGGGGTGGAGCTGTTTGGGGGGCTGTGCCTGGTGCCCACACTCTAATCCAATCTACAGCTCCAGCTTGTTAATTTTATGCTTCATCAGCTGGCAGCTGCAGGCACCTTTCGGTTAGGCAGGATGAATATCCTCTGGCATGGCCTGGCTCTCCTCCACTGCAGCCTCCTCCACTTGAATTTCGTGAGGGTTTTTATTTGTATTTTTAATTATATAAGTGATGCATGACTACAATCCTACTGTAAAAATGTTTGAGCACTAAAAAGATAAATACATAACACCTTTTACCACCCCCTCCTCTAGGAGGAGTGCTGTAATGCTTCACTGTAGACTTTCAGCTGGTTTTGTAGCACAAATCAAGTCTGCTCTGTCTTTTTATGAAGAGAAAGACTGTCCTGGGTCCCAAGGAATGCCCTTGGCAGAACTGGATCTATTCAGGGACAGGGATCTAACTGGCAGGGAAGACAGTGTAGCACAGTGGTAGGGCAAAGTTGGAGGTGGGACAACAGGTAACAGGTATCCTTACCTTTCGGTCATCTTTGAAGGCATCAGCAGCAGCAGTAAAGTGTGGGATGACCTGCTTACAGTGTGGACACCCTGTGTGAGAGGGGACAGAACATCACATATACTGGGAGGATATACAGAGCCAGGGCTACTTCCTAGAACCTCCAGAGATGGCTTTTGAGGAGCCTCACATCCTGCTCACTCTCATGTCAGGGTACACGTGTCACCTTTGCCATGCATACAGCCCCCACGCCTTGTATGTGGGCCTGGGGGCTTTGCAGGAGTCTCTACCACAAGCACCAGTACCCTTCTGCCCAGGACCTCCCATCTGTTGCCCTGGCTAAGAGGTGAGTCACTGGGGTCTTGCTCTGCAGGCTCCTTCCACAGATGCTGCTCTTGGGACTAGGAAGCCCTGATCCAGAGCACAGAAGGAGCTTTGGGGTTAAGAAAAAAGCAAGCTTGTTCAGGATTCTCCAAGCCTGTTACATTCCCCTCTTGTCCCAGGCACAATGGCAAGTCTTTCCACTTCATGACTGAGGTCACCAGGAGTCCCCAAATCCCCAGATGCTTCCTGTCCCAGGGAAAAGGCCTGTCAGTAGACAAGGGCCCATGGTGTTCCAGAGGTGTGTGCCCTTTCTCTGTGGTCTTGTCTCTTAGTCTGTGTGTCACTCTAAGCCCTCCAGCTGCAGCACAAGGTCAAGGCTGTTTGTGGGCCACTGTCTTCTCTTGTCACAGTGCACTCAAGAAGCTGCATGCTTCACAGGCCCTTCCAGGAGTGTGAACAGATCAGAAGACAAATCTACCTCCTTCTCAACCATTCTCCAGACACTGAGGAATGCAACTGCCAGGAGGACAGACCGGTTTTGACCTGATTGTGGGAATTAATCCCGTTCAGAACAGAGGTGGGAGAGGTCATGTGGCCCATGGGCAGAGCTGGTTCCAGCCACAACTTCCTGACAAACAGCCTGCACACTCTCACCTTGGGGGAGCAAACAGAGATGACACAGCGGGGAACAGAAATGGCCTTGTTCTTCTCTTTCTCCTTTTTAGAATAAGGTGATAATGTCTAGTATTTCAAAGGGTTTTGTAAAACCAAATGAAGGCTAAGCTAAAAATTTAATCTGAGTTCAGCACATGAGCTGGTTCCTGAGGTGGATGGGTCCTCCCATACGGCCTGCTTGGCAGAATGGCCAGCTGGCCCGAGCAAGGGGGGGTGGTGGTGGTGACAGGGAGGGGTTCGTGGGTTATATCAGAACTAAATGAGACAAAGTACCAAGCATTAGCCTACATGGATGACTTTTTAATTGCCTAAAATGGCAATTAATTTGACTTCACAGAGGGGAAAGAAGCTCAAATTCATGAAAACATACTACAAAGGAGGGATGTTATATGATTTTCGAAACATTTAAAGAGCACAATCTCCTTGATAACAACATATATCAGAGACTTATTCTGCAGGCAGCTACAGGTCCCCTGTGAATGGTGCTGGTCTACTAACAGCATTAGGTCGGCTGAAAATAACCTATCCCCTTCTTTAAAATCTGGCTTCCCTGTAAATTTTTCCTTTTTCTGCCTTTTTGCTTATTGAAGGCATAAAGACAATTGTCGGACTCGTGCAGATTCCTCTCCCATCAATTTAAAACACTGCAGCCTCAGATTAATGCCCTCTGTCGTACCTCATTTTCTCACTATATGAAAGAAAGCGCGTGGCAGATGAGTGAATGAAGGGCAGGCTGATGAAGGTGTTTTCATGGAGTGAGTGGGCCAGAATGGCATAATTTTAAAAAAATATTTTGGCTTTTTTAAAGAAAGGGACCCCCTCTTCAGAGCAGGAAACCAAGGAAGCTTCCCAGAATAGGGAGAGAGGAGCAAAGACTGAGGCTGGGGTACAGAACCCTGAAGCTAGGGACTTGGCCAGGCTGGCCCAGGAAAGGCAGCCCCAGGGCTGGACCATGCAGCAGAGGGCAATGACACAGCAGCAGGACAATCTGCTAGAACCCAGGAGATAGGATGTAGGGGGCAAATATGAGAGAGCAGAAATGTTGGGGTGAAGTGACAGGGAAGGGGAAAGGCAAGATGTAAGAGTGGGTGGGAGGTGGGGAGAGGTAGGATGCGAGGAGCAAGGTTTGGCTTTTTAATTTTACACCTTTACCAGGTTTTTGACTTTACCATTGGCCTTTCTTCAGTGTTTATGTTCTTTATAGATGAGTCAGTACCTATCATCTACCATAGAAGAATACAGGAAGAGAGCTGGATAAACTGTAAGGACAAAGCCCTTTGTCAGAGGCTGAGTCACTGAGTGACACTGTCCTGAATGGACTGCATTAGTTTTCAAAGCAAACTGGGAGCCTGAGACCTGGCAAGGACATGGCTCCTTCCCTTGTACGCTAGGCCCTGGACACTGCCCAGGGTAGAGCCTTTATGCGAGCAAGGAAAGAAGAAAGGGAGGGAGGGAGGGAGGGGGGAAGGACAGTCTTAGCAGTCCAGTAGGGTGGGAGTCTCTATTCAGATTCCCTGGTACACTGGGAATCTGCCTGCTCCAGCAGCCAGTGGGCCTACATGGTGATCTTCAGTCAGAGCTGAGCCAGAGAGAGACAAGGCCTGGCTCTGGTCCAGAAGGTTGGCCACGAGAGAGGGCATTTCTAGGGGAAAGAATTTGGTCTGTACTTTGTGAGATCCACACAGTTGCTAGCCAAGGACTCTTCTGTAGCCAGGTGTTTTCTTTCTGAAGAAAGCTCTTACTGAATTGTCTTGTGACTGTGAAACAGAGCCACTCAGGCTTCAGCAACAGCCTGTCACCAACTTGCCACAAGGCCTTTATCAAGTCACACATCTCCTGGGTTTCAGTCCTTGATCCCCTCCGCCCCAAAAGAAGATGTTAACTTCTCAAAATCGACCCAGGCTTCTGGGGACATGAAGGACTGATGAAGACAGTGTGAAATTCTATAAGGAACCAGGAACAAGTATTACAAAGCCAAAGAGCAGCGAAGCGACTAGGATTTGCTGGTTGCCTGAGGGATGGAGTCTGAAGCCCTGGACCAGGCAGGCCACGGACCCTCCCAGACAGTGAGAGTGAGAAGAGACAGGAATTACTGACTCTTGAGCAGGGGAGCAGTGGGAGCCGGAGGGGAGCAAGCAGTAGTGTTGGCTACAACTGAGTGGGTTTATGACTAGATCGAACTGCCTGGCTTTTCTGTAGACGGTGGCTTTTATTATCCTCACTCCATTAAGCTGAGCTGTAACCTGGGGGAGAGAGAGAAGGGCAACTGAAGAGTGGGGATTTCTAAGAACCTTTCTTTTTAAGTGACAATTAACAACTTTAAAATGGAAATACACAAAAACCTGAGGTGACAAACACCAATGTTGGCAAATGTGTCACTTCCTCAGCTTAAGCTTTGATTAAAATGAGAATCACACGGGGGCGTGGGAGCAGATGTGCCTGTCTCTGTACCACAGCTTCAACCAACACAGCCCAGAGCCACCAGGAAGGTCAGGGGAGGGGGTTCTGTTGTCTTGAAGGTGAAGTGAGGGTCTGGAGGCGTGCTGGGGAGGAAACAGTGGTGGGGCATGAAAGAGCCCAGAGATATGAAGAGACTGGTCCCTGCCACACACAGGAGCAACGGGCTTTAGGCCTGACACGTCTTCAAAATGGGGTGAGTACCTCATGGGGTTGACAGGAAGATGTTCTGGATTTTTAAGACCCTCCCTCCTAGCCTGGAAGGAAATCAGGCAGCCTGGCTTCTAGTTGAGATGACCATGGAGTTGGCTAGCGGCTGCCTTGGCCCCTGCGCGTGAGGATGAAGTCTTCTTGTTTGGGGAGGCAACCCTCTTACCTCACCCCTCACGAGCACCAGCTACTTACAAGGGGCATAGAACATGACCAAGGTGTGTTTCTTCTTCTTCAGGGTGTCCCGGAAGTTGTCCCCCGCCAGATGGAACACATTTGTCTGCTGTTCTTCCCATGTGGGCTCCGGTGGCAGGGGAGACTTGGGGCTGTGGAAGCCAGGAGAGGGGGAACAGTCATGAAGAGAGATCGTGACACACAGGTGTGCCCACCACCACACCCCAGCCCCCTGGGAACACACAGGAAGGGATCCTTTTGCGGTCTTTCTGAAAGTTCACTGAAAAACCTCAGTTTAGACAACAACATATCTACCATCTGCAAAGAGGGCTCCTACTATAGTGGGAGCCACTTTGTGAAGAGGTAGGGGACTGTCAGGTGCCTCTCTGGGTGTGGGCCATCATCCCTGGGCCAAGGCTTCCACCTTGCTCCCCAGCCCCTCCTCTCTGCCTCTCAAGGGATCCTAGATGACCTTCCATTATCTTTTGCTCCTAAGGTTTTGTTCTGGTGGAGACAGCACAGGCCAAGGAGGGAGGCAGGCCTGGGCTGAGATCCAGTTTACTTGCCAGCTGTGTGACCTTAGGTAAATTACCAAATCCCTCTGAGCCTTTCCTTTCTGTTAAGTGACGACAGAGGCACCTATATCTGGGTCTAGATAGCAGAGACAGTGTATACAAAGCACCTACTCAGTCGAACTACTGACATTTACTAAGAACCTGGAAGCTCCAATAAATGGCAGGTGCTGAATGAATGTCTACAAGCCTCTCAGTCTCTGCCTCTCCATTGGCTCCCTCCATCTGCCTCACTGGGGATGGAGCTAACTGCAGTGTGGATCTTGAGTGTCCCCACAAGCCCGTGTGTTAAAGGCTCATTTTCCACAGTGGCCCTATTGGGAGGTGGTGGCAAATTTCAAAGGCAGGGCCCAGTGGGAGGTTTTAAGTCACTGCCAATCAACCATGGACTGAAACCTCTAAAACTGTAAGCCTAAATAAAACATTTTTCTTTATAAGTGAACTATATCAGGCATTAGTTACAGTAACAGAAAACTGACTACAGCAGAGCTCTGAGGCTCTTTTTAAAGCCTTTGCTGCCCTTGCTTCCCATCTACAATCAAAGGTCTCTCTCCCTTCCTTCTCTGACAAGTGTCTGGGCGGGATAGACTGTACAAGCTGCGGTGTCCTCCCCTGTCCTCTCACCATGGCCCCTGCACGGTCAGCCTGGCGGTCACCTGAGTGTGGCATCAAACCATCCCAATACTCAGTACCCACAGCATCCCGCACCTGTGCCTATCCCACAGCTCTCTTCTGCCTGTTCTATTCAGAGCCTCTGAAGTTTTCAAAATATCTTACCCTCATGCATGGTTTTAGTGATTCCAGTGGCTGAGGGTGACTTGAGACCCGACCTCTCCTCCAAGAGCCTGCTTCTGGGTGTTTTTCAGGTATTTCCACTGGAGGTCCCACTGCCACCTCAAACCCAAGACTTAGAACATAATCCTTCTCCTTCCTCCTCCAAGGAGCCTTCCTACCCCAACTTTTCCCTATGGGTCATGGCCGCTGCACTGGTGACCATGCCTGGTTCCTTTGAGCCTTCCTTTCATCCTCCTTTTCCTTTGTCCTCCAGGTCCCCTGACTCCACAGCTGACACCAACAAACTGACTTATCTGCTCTGCCTTTAACCTGAATGCTGCCTCCCCAGGCTGCCTCTGGCACCTGCCTCGGGTACCTGCAGCTCAGCCACCTGTGCACACACTGGCAAACATCATGCACCTCAGCTGGCACCGTCTGCTCACCCTGCTTCTGGGTGAGGAGCCTCAATCCTCTTCCTGGAGCCATCTGCTCCTCACACCCCACCTGAAGGCTCCCTTCCAAGTGCCTGAAAGAACTGCTATCTGTTCCTGGGCAGGCCCTTAACCATCTGACCCTAAGTTTCTTCATCACTGAAACAGGAATAAAAACTGGCTTCAAGAGGATCTGTGGACAAGCAAAGCACAAGATAGGAAAGCAGGAGGCTGGGACTATAGTGGCAAAGCACTTATCTACTATGTGCCAGGCTCTAGGTTTGATCACCAGCACAGGGAAAAAAAAACCAATCTATGAATTGTGGGTGGTATCATCCCTTGTGCACTGATACTGTCAGTTGAAGCCCTCACCCCACAATGGCTAGGATAAGTAATAAATTCACTTCCTTTCTTCGAGTATTTCTGTATGATGTCTAATGCTAAGAACTTTTCACAACAGTCTAACTTAATTCCACAAGTCTGTGAAAAAAAGTATTGTCTCCATTTCACAGATGGGAAGCTGGGGCTTCAGGAGGTCAAGTACAAGGCTTGGGGTCATGACCACAGTGCAGGTCTCTCTGACTCCAACGTCCATGGTCTCAAGAGCATGCTTCTCAGGCTCTCAGGAGTGGGACTACACACAAGGACAAGACCCCTGTGCTGTGTCCAGGCCTCAGGGGTGCTGATTGACAATGATTGCCACTCTGATCCCCCTGGCTCTTGATCCCTAGGACCTGGCCAGATCACCCATGGACTCAGTGCTTCCCATAGCAAGGCTGCAATGGCAGGGATGAATAAGCCACCTGCTTCAGACACCAGAAGTCCCAAGAGCAGTGAGTGTTTTGTCTCTTGTGGAGGCAAACCATTTCCTCTGGTCCGTAAGTCAAAGCCCTGGCTACTCAGGATTCTCCTCTGGTGGATGAGCAGTATAATGTGGGAGGAACTGAGGCCAGGACTTCCCCAGCACACTCACCTCTTACCAGAGGCCTCTCCTGCTCTTTGCCAATTTTGCTTCCATTCCATATGCTGCTGCTCCCCCAAATACCATGGCTGAGAATCCCATGCACATTTCCTAAATCAAAGCTTCAGGTACAGAATCTGTACCTTCAATACATTCCTCCTGCCAGGTAAAGCTTATGTGCATCCAAGTACCTAGCAGAGCACCTCTGCCAAGACACCATTATTTTGCACAGCTATCATGTTTTGTGGCTTTCAAGTCTCACCTTGAATGTGGGCATTACCACTCCATGTACCTGTGCAGGTTGGAGCGTGGTCACTTTTATTTTTCCCCTCTTCCATGCTGAAATTGGGAGACATCCTTAAATACTCAAGTAATGTGTAAGCATCTGAGTCTGGCAGTGGCTAGGTGTGGCAGGCAGGGGAAAGGTCATTCAATTGTGTTCTGATAACAACTTCTGCTACTCAAGTGTGGCTGTAGGCTTCTTCCCTTTCTCAGGGCATTTGTGTGCTGGGCCAAGTCTGCCCCATCACAGGAGGGCAAATGCTAGCAACCACGTGCTCTAATTCCTTGGGTGAGCAGGGTCTTTGGGTCAAAGCTTCTCAAATCTCTGGACTTGCAGGCTGTATGGGTGAACTGTGTCCTTCCAAAATTCATATGTTGAAGCCTTAGCCTCCGTACCTTTAAAGGTAATCTTTGGAGATAGAGTCTTTACAGGAATAATTAAGTCAGGATGAGGTCATTAGGGAAGGCTATAATCTAATATGACTGGTGTCTTTCTATGGACACAGATGTACACACAGGAAAGACCATGGGAAGACACAGGCAGAATATAGCCATCTACAAGCCAAGGAGAGGCCTCTGATGAAACTAACCCTGTCAACCTCTGGATATCTAACTTCTAGCTTCCAGAATCGTAAGAAAATAAACTGCTACTGTTAGGCCAATCAGTTCATGTTGCTTTGTTACGATGAGCTTTGCATCTGAGGGGGGTTCTTTGAAGTCTTTATGCTCAACCCCAAATCACAGCAGCCAGAAGCGCAGACACCAGAGGAGGCCCAGGCAGTCACCAGCAAACCTGGGGTGAAATCAGCCCAGTTCAGGATGTGACGAGCTGTGTTTCCTTACTCAAAACAGGAGGGAATAAATCGCAGATGATGACACTGGGGCTAGGGAAGCTTCGACAGAGAAAAGGAAACACACACTTGGTAGCTCTGGAGAGTGCACCTAGGAGGCCTACTAGTAACCTGCTGTCTTAGAACACAGGGTCAGCACACAATGGGTGGCCCTAAGCCAAGGAGGTCAGGTTTGTCCTGAACCAAGAACAGCGGGCCCTAAAGCTCACTTCGTCTCCTTGAGGTTGTCTCCAGGGGCCAACAGCCACAGTCATGATGTGCCACTGAGACCATAAAACTTACTTCTGCATCCACTCAATAAACTTCTTCTTTGTTCTGAGCGCGGGCACTGCATATTTCTCTCCATTCTTAAAATACTTCAATGTTGGGAACTCTGAGATGTGGAATCTTTCTGCCAGGGCCTTGTTGACAGTGGCATCGACAGCTGCAAGGACACCAGAGCTCTGGGATGGGGGAAAGGCCAACCATGCATTACAGCCTCAGACATGGTGCTGGTGGAAAGAGGAACCCATGCGCTGCCCCATCCCTCCTGGGCCTGCCTCACATATCCCAAGGAGTAACTGAATGCTGGCATGTCCCTCACTTCTCATTTATGGACTGAGGTGAGCCTTTGGAGTCTGCCCCACCAGCCGCACTGGGCCAAGTAGGGCCTGCTCCCAAAAATTAGGGCCCCAGAGCAAAGAGGGCACAGGCAGAGGTCACAGGCACAGAAACACGCCCCATAGGCTTTCTACCCCCGCTCTATCCTTGGCAGAGGCCCCTGTCCAACCTCGATGTCTACTGGGAGACATGGAAGGACCACAGACCTCTAGACCGGGAGAGTGGCTTCAAGGCTTGCAGGGAAAGCCGCTGTAATGTTCTGTGTGCTAGCAACTCTTCAAAGGGCATGGTGAGGGGCTGGGAAGATGTTTACCTCTGCTTCTCCATGGAGAACTTCTGCTGCACTCTCAAACTCTGGCTTCATTTTCTTACAGTGTCCACACCCTGTGTGGAGGAAAGAAAACAAGCCACTCCTATGGCATGAAGGCTCTGGGATGTACCCTGTGCTGCCTCCCTAGGACAGTCCTGTTCCGTATCCAGGAACTGGGTACCGAGGAGAGACGCAGACAAATGCCAGCTCACAGAAGAGAACTCTTCTGCCTGATCCATGGGACAGGCTACATTGGAAGGTTACCCGAGAGACAAAAATAGAGGAAGTACATGACCAACATATGCAACATGCTGGTGTGCTGGGTACCAATCTAGTACTTTGTAGCCTCACATTAGGCATACAAGGTAGGAACTGACAAGAAGTCTGTTTTACAGTCAGAAACTGAGGCACCACGAGGGCAGGTGACTGCTCAAGACTGCACGTACAGCCAAGGTCACAGTGTGGGGCTGAGAACCCGAGCGATCCAGCTGGGGTCCATGCTGCAGGCTGTGTGGGCCTCCTGGCCCCACATGAAGCACCCTCACCATCTTCTCCAGCCTAAAGTTGGGAGTAAGAGTCCACAGAAGCACGAGTATGGGGAGAGCTTAAGCTCAAACTGTCCCCCAGGGAGCGAGGCTATGATGCGACAACTCAGGGATTTGACTTGCTGTTTCCAAATTAAAAGTATTTTCTCAGGAAAAAGACGGCTTTGCTGTCTCCTTACAGTCAGATGTTATGAAGAATAAAACTTGATACATTAAAAAGAGAACAGGCACTTTGTGCAGATGACGTCAGGACACTAGTCAACTTTTTCATTTCTATAGGAAGAATGCTTTCTGGCTCCTGATGTTCAGGGTGCTGGGAGATGAGGGGACCCTGACTGGCTCAAGGCTACTTTCAAGGGGAGCTGACTGCATGGGGACCCTGAATCAGTTGGGCTCAGTGGGTGCCAAGAGGTGGCTCAGCCCTCTCAGGGGAGCAATACTGTGTGGGAGCTGAGAGCACTGCAATTCTGACTGTTAAGACAACAAAAAACAAGAAAGGAAGACAGAAGGTTGCAGTCTTAACTTGATCAGAGCCCTTCTACATCCTCCTGGATGGCACCTGAACCATAGAATGGGCTTTGCTGCCTCCACTGAGCCCATGGTGGGGATGAAAGCTCTGGTCTCCTCCAAGGTCATCCCTGCAGATCTCAGCCCCAGGTGGCAATGACACACAAACCTGTCTCGTTCCTTCTACTCCATTCCTGCCTGTACCTGGCTTCTCCAGTCCACTCTTGCCCCATTCCCCCCAGGGACAAGGGGCCCCAGAGTGGCTACCCCCACTTACTGATGACAGGAAACCTAACTGATCATCCAGCTCCCAGGCAGGGTTGTCATACTCTTCTGAAGAGAGTACTGTGGACAGGACTCAGTCAAAGACACAGACCCTGACAGAATGCAACCTGGGGAATGGCTACAATTCTTGCCTGCACTAACATTCTCTTTCTCTCCAAATGGCCCCATGGCAGAGAAACACCTCAAATCCTTAACTCAAAGGCTTCATTTGGCCCAATGGGCAAGAAGATGCCAAGCTCATACCCTCCTATAGCTGTACAGGAGCTCCCTACTTCTGGAGGGGTACAATACAGAAAAGAGGGGAGAAAAGGTTTCAGCCCATTGGCTCTTCCAGCCTCTCTTCCAGAGGACCACGTTTTTTGGTCCAGAGGGGAATCTAGTGTATACACAATAACTTCAAGTGATGAACCATGGAAGCTGGGCATGGTGGCCCATGCCTGTAATCCCAGCCCTCTGAGAGGCTGAAGCAGGAAGATTACAAATTTGAATCCTGCCTGAGGATCTTAGCAAGATCCTGTGTCAAAATTTTTTTAAAAAAAGATTTTTTTAAAAAGGGCTAGAGATAGTTCAATGTGTAGACCCTGGATTCAACCCCCCAGTACCGAAAAAAAAAAAAGATGAGTCAAAGAAGAGCAGTCCCGGGGCCGGGGATTTAGCTCAGGGGATTCACCGCCTGCTGCGCGAGTTCATTCCCCAGTACCAAAAAAAAAGAACAGCAGTCCCTGTCCCCATCCCTCCCCCTCCCCCTGGGGAGCTGGCACTGGTAAGCCTTGCTACATGCTGTGCACACATTAATATTCATCATACTGGATTTTAAGTACCACACTGTGAATCCTAAAAGGCAGCACATCAGGATTTTCTACCTTGTCCCTCCACGTGAAGCAAAAGGGATCACCATTTAATAGGTGCATGACAAATATTTATTGGTCAGGAAAGAGAAGAACATCCCTAATTAAACAACTAGAAGAGAACAACAAGGGTCACCAGGAGTTGGGTAGACTTTCAGAGGAGGCAGATAAAAAGACATATGGGGTAAGTTAGTAAGAAACAGAGACAGTGTGGCTGAATCAGCAAGGCAAAGCAGCCGCAGAGGAATGAGGGATCCTCAGGCCCTGATCGGCAGGGAAGAATTCCACTGCCAGACCAAGGCCTGCTGGCTCCTCCAGAGCAACTCAGCTCCTGTCCCCACTGGGCTGCCTGGAGCCCACTCAGGATCCCCTATCCATGACCTGCAAAGGGATCAGGGTCATCACTCTTGTAAATGTAAGAACATTATTTTCCAGAAATGAACACGTAACATCATCATAACACATTTGTCATTTTCTAAACTATTGGGTTACAAGGGGGTTGTTATGGCAAGTTGGTTGTTTTCCCCACAGACACAATTTTATATTTCGATTACAAGCAGATTCCCAAGAGTGACCACAAAAACCCATGAAGCAGAATGTACCTGAAGAATACAGCGTACACAGCTATTTCCATTTCACTGAACCCAGCCCTAGATGGGGACACAAAGCCTACCATCCACAGCGACAGCCACCTCAGCAGCAGGGCGTGTGTATATGTAGGGGGTGGTCAGGAGGAAGCTCCACCTGGCTGGGGAATGAGGCAGGAACCTGGCCATGGGACACCTATGCTTGGGACCAATGAAAGCTCCTCTCCCCCTCTCCCCTACTGATGCATCTGTACCCCCAACTTCGTAAGTAACTTCGGAGGAATCCAGAATCCCTCCTAGGGCTGGGGATTTAGCTCAGTGGTTCCATTGCCTGCCTTGAAAGCACAAGGTCCCGAGTTCGATCCCCAGTACCAAAAAAACCCAACAACAACAGAATCCCCCCTGGCTCACAGATCACAGAGCCCAGGTTAAGAGGGTAGGGCAGAGCAGAAGACACCGAGCCAATCCCTTTCTTGGGGAGGAATGTAGAAGTCAGGGAGGGCTGCCCCACAGGTATACAGGCTCAGATAGCCTGCTGTGTCCATCTTCAGGTCAGGACACATGGGGTTTTGTTGTACAAGGTTCTACTGATGTAACATGAAATAGAGAAAGATTTTAAAAAACTGATTCTAACTAAAAATAAAAGAGTAATAAAGGGTCCTTTGAGGCTTATGGCCAGGATGAAAAAGTTCTACAAATCCTACAGCCCTCCATCCTCTCCAGGCTGACAGCTCGCTGTACCTTGCCTAAGGTGAGCACCCCATCCTCCTCCTCCAGGCTGAGCTCCCTTGATTGGGGGGCAGTGAGGAGGCCCAGCCTGTGCAGGAAGCTCAGAGGCATCCCTGCTATTCATTGCCCGGAGTCCAGCCTGCCCTACAGAAAATGAAGTGAGCAATCTCCGAAGTGTCCTCAAAGTGCCACTGCTGAGACAGCCTGGCTCAGCCCAGCAGCGCACAGCAAACTCCCAGGCAGGCTCGGGGACCCAGGCCTGAGCTTCCCAGTGGCTGCCACAGGAGCAGAAGCAGGGAGATGACTCTAGAAACCTTCTCCCCTAAACATGATGTGGGGGATGTTGCTGGCAGAGTCCATGGTCAAGGCAGACAGGGGAGCTGGACAGGGGGTCAGGGGAGAGAAGACAGAAGAGCCAGCCACAGCCACTGACAGAAATCACCATTTCTTTCCAAATTGTCTCATTCTTGTGGCAGGACCCCTGAAGATGAGAGAATTCAGCTTACACTGGTAGAGAGTTGCACCTCCAGACCTGTATCAGCTTCCTGCCCTTTGATGCCACTGCCTTGCTGGGGTGGCAAATAGACTCCATCCCACCTGCTGGCTTCCTTGGAGGTGCTCTGAGACTGAGAATTAGCTCACTGCACAGCAGAGGGGTGGGATCAGCTGTGATGTCTCCCATGGATGCAGAGGGCTGGCAGGAGTACATGCTGGAAATCTCCAGAGGCATTAGCTCAAATGCAGGTGTTTGTGCCCCTCTTCATGGCCCTTTTCCTCATGGGAAAGGCCTTTCCTTGCACAGCATCCACCCTGGATAAACCCACAAGATCCACCTGGGTTCTGGCCCCACTTGGAGTGTTCTCAGCACACTCCAGCCCCACTGATGAGCTACTTCTCCTCTAATCAGGAAATACTTCTTATTGAGCTATTTCCATGGCACTTGATTTTATGTTACCTTGAGACTGTTCTATTGGTATCTCCTGGTACTTAAGAGAAGCCAGGGTGTCGTTTTCAAAACACAAATCACACTGAATTCCCTTGCTTAAACCTTCCCAAGGGCTCCCCATCACAGGTAGGTTAAAATCCAAATTCATTATCATACTCCCACCTGGCCTCCAACCTCAGCTCAGATCCCTTCACTCTTGTCTATATTGCAGTCTTGGGTCCTCCTTCCCTTCTCCCATCATATCAAGCCTGTTTCTACCTCAGGGCCGCCCTTGAATGTGCTCTTGCCCCTACTGGAACCTGATCTTCCCCAGTCTATGCATGGTTCACTTCTCCACATTTCTCAAGCTTCCGCTTAAATTTCCCTTCTTCAGAGATGCTTTCTGACCACATACCTCTAGGGAGCCTCACCCCATCATGCTCACTTCCAATAATGTTTGAGTTTCTTAAATGTACTCAAAGTAGCTGGAGTAACCTGGCTACCTGTGCCCTGTCTATTCCTTTAGCTGGAATGTAAGGTTGGTCAGGCAGGGGCTCGGCCATCTATTTAGCGGATGCTGATGACTAGGGCTCCACACACATTTTTTGTACAGTTTAGGTTTATACTTGCTGCACACAAGGTGTTATG